TGAATAAAAATGTTAGCAAATTGGAGGGATGTTATCCTACAATACATCAAAGTTATATTTTAAATATGTGACTGATATTCAAGTCATTGCTCACTATGCAAGTCAATAGTTTTAATTGGGTGTCTGTCAAGCAAGAGGTAATAAAACGTATAATAAAACATTTTGAGTGTCTAATTCTCATATTTCTGATGAAGATCTTGTTTTTTACAGACATAAAGGGTGACAAAGTGGGTTATTTGTTTGGTTTGTGTTTATGTATTTTATTGCTGTACAATGCAAAATGTGTGGTTTTCAACCCTTGAATGATACCACTATGCTACAGCATGTTTCGTATTGAAAATGTGCCATTTAACTTGTTTGATTTTTTTGGGAACTTATATTTTAATAGATGTACAGTTATACGTTAAATTTCTGCGTTGTTTTCAGCTCAATAATGATAACTGTGCTTGTAGAGTTGTTTTGTGAAAATTATTAACATAAGTTACACTACATATTATAACCATGGAATTGTATTAAACCCCTCTATCAAGTCAAATGCTTGCTTTCGTGTTTAGAACGTTACAGTGCCCTTCTCTTCGGATATTAAACTTAACACATCTTTCATTTCTTCTGGACTACAGAATGCAACATTCATAATGTATGTCTATAAAGATTTCCACATAGAGAGATACAGATGTATCTATGGAAAGGTAAACGATTTTGGCAAAGCGCAAACAAATGTGTGCTATGAGATTGAGAACGTGGTATCGGATATTCTAGAAAGTTTAAGCATACGCAGTCTTGTGTACAACTACTTATCGCCAAATGAGAAACAGGGTCAGAAATGTTGGATTGTCTCTCATGATAATTTGCTATGGCAAAGCTTGTTTTAAATGAGTTATAGACAAACAACCAATAAACCATTCAGTCCACCGATAGATTTCAATATGAGTAGAAAAATAAAATCATGTTTTCTTTCAATTTACAATAATCTCACCCCATCCAGTTGTCATTGATATACGTAAAGACAAGTTCATGCATTCACAACCTTTTTGAGTGTTAAAGACCACCTGAATACCTAGTTACTTTACAATGCACAACGATAAAATATTCACACCGTGGCCAAATACCAATATTAATATTGAAATACGTAAATAAAAACCAGATATTGGGTCGAAAAACAGCGGTGCTCAGTTGGTGGTTACATTATCATCTTGACAATAAATATAGACACAAATACCCAGACGTATTTCTTTTAATCTGACCTATTTCAAACTCCTCGATGTTTTCCCTTCTTTGCAATAAAAATAGAATTAATTGATTGAAGATGCTGTTATTATTGTGTTAATTTAATACTAGATACTAGATTTGAGTATTAGTGATATATTTGAGTATAAATACAAGTCCTGGTAACCAAGAGTGCAAATTCTGGAGTTGGATAATAAATCCAAAACAATATCTGAATGCTAGACCTTTATCTAAATAGATCATTGATGATATGTTTTATTTAGCCATTTTTATTAATACTAATTTTCGTAGATGAGGTAGTTTGAACTTGGATTGCAGAAATCGGGACGATTTAATAGAATATAACATTAAGATTAATGCCCACTAGAAAACGCAAAAGCAAACCCACTGCTATAAAAATGACACTAAATACGCTAGTACACGCTTCATCTTCAAATGTAATAAACAGTCAAGAAATTCCGGTCCAAAGTACTAGAAACACATTGTTGTTAGTTATCCAAGTTGAAAATCTCGCAGTTTAAAAACGGCTTAAATGTACTAACAATTCGAACTCAAAATGGTCGAGGAGTAATCTATTACAACATGTACTAAATAACAACTCGTTTTAATTGTATTTTGAATGAAATAAATCAAGCATTATTATTCAGTCAGCGTTATTACTTCTACCCAAGAGATTATTATAAACATTAAGTTAGATAATACTACATTTTCTACATTCTGTTATGTGAAAGTTAAAACGATAATTTAAATCAAATACACGATTACTTATTTTAAGGAATAACATGTATTGTTAAGCTCAGAGATGTAAGCTTATTATATCTAAAACCTCTTAAATATAGTGTTGATATTTATCCAATATTTGTGACGACTGACTTTAAAGGTGTTCTTAAATACGGCAACTTTCAACTAACCCAGCATGTCCTTGTAGATATAGATGTCTGATATTGTTATTGAAATGAAAATGTATGTGTATATATTATATTGTTGTTATGGTAAACATGTCTAGCATATCAATATAATTAGTATATCATATATAGGACGATTATTTGAAACATGACAGTTTGTGTGGAGATTGATAGTGAAATTGACAGTGATAAAGACCATTAGAAAGCTATAACTGTCAATCAATAGTGATGGAGGCACCTGCACAAGGTAAACTTGATCCGGGCTTTAATCAACGTAGACTTCATTAAAAGCAGATCAAATTCGGCCAGTTTAATGAACAGCCAACCACCAAACCTTATTTTCTTAACTTTCAATATGTTCCCCCATATAATCAGGTAACTTGATCTAACCAAATTCATGAATTCATTTTCTCTAATTCATGTTATTTTGTTTTCTATGTCGCTGGTCATATGTTACTGGCGTGTTGACTATCAAAGCCTATCTGAAGCAATGTCACGTCTCATATCCACAAGTCGACCAACCTTGGATGTATTATGGAACTAGGAATTTTCCCGCTAACGCTAGACAATTATACCCGCATGTTTATGTATCATAAAAGGCTAAACGATGTCAGGATGAAACAAATATTTCCTCTACTATCAGCAGCCTATACTGAAGATAAAAATATATCCTCTAAAAATGAAAAATTGTCTTCGTCAGCTGCATCGCAATCAATAATTTAACATCGAAACTCGAAATAAATGATGTACATTTGTTAAATAAAGAGAATATAAAGAAATCCCTGGAAGCAAAATTTAACTCCTTCTACCATATATCCTCTAACTCGAATAACAGCAAATTACGTACATATTTCATTTCTCCAGGCTATTTATATTCGGTTAAAAATAGAGATCATAGGAAAGCTTTGACCACACTTAGACTAAGTACGCATCACTTATATATAGAGGGGTCAATACAAAAAAATCTCGCTGATCAGCGTTTATGCTCGAAAACGAGCAACACTTTTTGCTAAACTGTAGCAAGTATGAAGAAATACGTAAAACCAATTTATACACAGCCTTCTCAGCAAATCCTGAGATTTCGTACAATTTTATTAATCTCTTTAACCCACCAAAATCGAATGCCAAGGCAGTGGCTTTATATGTGTTTTGGGCTTTTGATAAGAGACCTAAATCCAATTTGGTGGTAACTACATGTAACTGAAACCCTATACATGTAGATTTACATGTACAATATCGTTTGTATGAATGTATTACTTGTGCGTTCATGTATGTGTTGTCTATGTAATATGCATTATTAAATGTATATGACTATGTCTTAAGTGTATATGTATGCATGCTGCCCTTAATGGGCGTTTTGGTGCAATAAACATCTTATCTTACCTATCTTCCTAAAGCCTATCATACATAGGAGATTTCTTTAGGCATTTTGTAAGCGATTTTAATTGCTCTCGGATTGCCAGATAAAATTGCCCACGTGAGTGACTTTGCAACGGCAACAAATATAGACTTTTGTCGCCGGCGAGATATTGCCAAATATCAAATATGATATTCAATCGACAAAGAATTTCCAGTAGCTCTGCAATTGTACATGAGACGCTTTGTCTGCGGAAGCAAGCAATCTCTCTTGGACAAGTTTGTTCGACCAATCAGCGTAAGCTACATGTAAATGTAAATCCAAACATCTCCTTTATATGTCAGGAATGCACTGATTACAAGTAAAACAGGACAGAAATATAGTGACCGTTTGTTGCGCTGTAGTGTTGATATGAAAAGATGTTAGGTTCGCCAGAATTTAAACAAATGCCGAACATCCTCCATCATAATAGACACTAGAATATGGCCAACTGGAAATGGTCTTCTCTAATTAGATACACATGAAACTTGTCGATTAATTGGGCTGGTGACTGCTGATAGTGTTTGGCCCAGAGTTACATTGAACCAGTAGTTTTGACGTTTGCCATCCAGTCCCAAATCAATGCTTCAGAAAGCGTCCAGTAATGGTGACTGTCGTGCACGAGATATAACTCTGGATGATTATCTTTATTTCTTCCTCTTAGAAATTATTTCAATACGTATATAATTTCGTTCGGGTGTGTGAGTGTGTGTGTGAAGGAAATGTTGTAATGACCACTTAGTATTTTTCCCTGATTATATTCTAAATGCATCCCCGTTCTATAATTAATGCTCACAAGTGAAGTTAAGTACCATATGGGCATTTGTAAGACCAAAGGGTATACAAGAAATACCTCATATTATAATGTTGATTCAAATTCTAGACAATTTCCAGGTCATTTGTACCCTTTATTGTTTTTAATAAAAGGTGAGAGAGAGTATAACAAGTTATGCGCCCACTGAGCAAGAGCTGACATTTACAAAACATGTGAAAATCATGTCCAGGAAAATTGTTCAGGAAGAAAAAATGATACGACTACCTGACAGGGTCATTTAGTTATTTTTTCAACATAAACATTGAGATCCATAGTCTCGAATGCTGACCAGGGAGAGATGTGTCTAAATGTTCTTTCTGCCTTCAGAGTTAAACACATTACATGTTTTGTCTATTACACAATGGCAAGTTTATGACATGTTAAAACCACAACTAATCGTTTAAAATACATCCAAAGATTCTGAAAATAAAATGGTGTTTCTTTTTATTAATTTAAAACAAAATTCCATTCAGAAATTTATTCAAAGCAAATAAAATGATTGTCATATGAACTTGCCACATTAATGAGAATCGGTATTAAGAAAATATCGATACCTCTAAAACATACCTAATATAATCACCTTTTGTATTTTTAAAACAAATGTCTAAGTAAAAGGTGGTATTTAATATATTTAAAAATCTGTTTTTTCTATTTCTAGGGCCCTTTCATCAGTGGTGGCTCTTGGAGCCAATATCATCTGCAACAAAATACCCGGTATGGCACCAAAACAGAGAGCCATCTGTAGAAGCAGACCTGATGCCATCGTTTCTATAGGGGAAGGTGCAAAATTAGGTCTCACGGAATGTCAGTACCAGTTTAGACTAATGCGATGGAATTGTTCAACACTTGACTCAAACGACTCAATGTTCGGTTATGAGTCGCTCGGAGGTAAGTTTGTCTTTTTTTATGAAATTTCACCCGTGCTTCCAGTCACACGGAAGTTCTAGGATATTGACCCTTAATTTACAGCTACAAATACCAATATGAAGCATATGTGGCGAACAGTTTGTTGTTGATTTCGCCAAACTCGTACGGAGTCTTAAATGTATAAATACAAGACATCCTTACTCAGAGGAACGTGAACTAAATAAAGCTTCTCTTCGTTGTCTCATCTGAGAGCACCGGTGTCGAGGCGTCACAACCAGCAAGACATGGTTCTATCTTAAGGATATTACCTTGCCCGCAACAAAATGACCTAAGTCAAGATGTCGAAAACTAGTCATTCATTCAGTCATACGAGGCGTTACCAGTATTACAGTACAAACCTAAAACCTTATTCATGAACAATGTGTAAAATATACTAGGAATTTTAAGCACATTTCTCTGTTATTCCAAAACATGTGAAGTTTTGACCCTTCGCCATATTAATTCTGAATAAGAAAGTTTATTTGTACTACATTTAAAGCATCTATGGATACGTTCGTGTCTTTAATGTTTATTGTTTACTGCGCCTTAATATAGTTTATGCAGCTGTGAGTAGACGACCTATTGTTATTATTCTAATCCCATTGTGTTTTTAAACTAACAGAACAGTATCACCTATCCTCACCTTCTTTTAAGGTGAATAGCATATCTTAATACTCTACAGCAAAACGACCTCACCTCACATCCTCTAGTTGAACATACGAATAGCTGTCAATATCTTTAAACTGTTATGGTAGATGCAGTGGCGGATATAGGATATAGCATTCAATTCGACTTACAAAGAGAGAGAGAGAGAGAGAGAGAGAGAGGGAGAGAGAAAGGGGGAGAGATGGGGTTTAACGTCCGCTCAATACAAACTAGGTCAATTTTATTTCAATAATCCGCTTGCGCGTAGTGGTCTTTAGCAGTGGGAGGAAACCGGAGGTCCCACGAGGTTGTCAGGCGACCCTTATCCAGTTGACTCAAAGACAGACCTTGTGATACAGCGCGCACATTTCACTTAAAACATTACCCCAGCAAAGAAACCGCTCAAATAATATACATGTTTCACAGAAACAGATTAATAAATGAATTTTATATACTGTTATTTACCGATGGGGGGGGGGTCTGGTTCCGTCACTGAGTAGATAACATAAAAATGATTTATTGTCACAAAATTGTACATCAATTTCTCAAATCCACTTTGGAATCAAAAGCGAAAGTCGACCACATTTCGGATTTATCTCTAGGGTGATGTAATTCTGAAATATATTATAATATTGAATGTTGGATCGATGGATCATTGGGTACCGGGATTTCATTTCAGTCACAATAGTGAATTAACCTGATAAACAACTATAAATGATTAAAAATCATCATCATCGCCATCATAAGGCTTGACAACAACATTACTGGGGTTATACCTTATTTTAGTAGATTACTATGATGGGGCAGAATCCCATTTACCATGAATTCATATGTTCAAAGATACCAGACGTTACCCTCTCGTTCAAACTAATCTTTGATATAATCACTAGCCTGCCAATTGTCAATGATATGATCCAAATTCACCATTGTCACCATCATACTCATTATCATAAACATCACCATCATCATCATGCTCGTCAACATTGTTACAAGGATTACATTAGTTTTACTAGCTGCATGTTTAAAGTAGCTAAGTCTTTAACTTAATATCATCCACAGTCTTCGAGATAGAAAACACGAATTATTTGTCAATTCAAATCAAAATTGATGTTGTGACCTTACGGGAAAACATGGGCATCTGGTATCCAATATTTAAGACAAAATAAACAGTTTACCATTCGTACACGAATCGTGTACCCCACAATGCGTTTCAGCGCCATTTGTAACAAAAGGATCGAAGAACGAGGCTCGACATATTCCACAAGTAATGTCAAACGGTGACATTTTCTTACCTGAAGAGCATGCGCAATAAATACTACTGGCATAACCAGACGCTAGAGATTGCCATTCGATTGAAACTTCTCGCGGATTTCGCCGAACATAACTGATTTGAAATTAGAGTAAAAACGAAAACGATTGAATGTAAATCAGTTTATACACATTCATATTACATTATTATATGCGTTGCGACCCATTTGTGTCAATTTCTAGGTCCCAAATATTAGCGATTTAGCTCCTTTAAAATATTACTGGGTTCATATCGTCAAGATACGCTTGACAGTAACCTTACAACCACCAAAATATTCCGAGTTTATCAACAACATATAGAAGTCTATGTACGTTTTTATGTCGATGTGCTTCCGACTCATTTCTCTTAACAACGTGTTAATCCCCTGCCAACCCCATAATCCTCCTAATAAGCTAATCAGTGACCCTTATTATAAACATACACTGATAACATTGACCTTTCACCCTTGTGTATGTCATACAAGAATGATATAGGGGTTATAACAATGAAATGGATGTGTTTTCAGACATTCTCGTTTGTTATTTTGCTGTATGTATGTCGTTTTTTATTGCCGTAAGACATTTCATAATATATAAAATAGTTAACTATGTGACTGTCCCAGAATGTTTTTAAAAGTCGTGGTACTGGTATTGCGTGTTCTTAAGGATCGAGTAAGCATAGTCTGCCTTATCCCAACACTCGTCTTTATTGTACCCGAAATGAAAAAGCATCACATATGTATTGTCTGTCAGTCATGCGAAGTTGTACTAGTGCAATACCTAGTAATTTAAACAGGTATCCCATGTGTACCTAAGTTTCGGCGAAATGATGACTATGAACACGTCGTATTTGGGTTAACCATTGTAACTTTTATTTTCAAATATGTGAACGTCCCATAAAATTAGAAGTGGTGGCAAGTGTTCCAGAAAGGAAAACCATGTTTTGTCGCGTATACAACACCGTCATTAATTATGGCTAACTGAAACAATGGTTTATACACTCACTTTCCACCAACAACGCAAGGTCTTGAAAACCAGAAATATAACCCTTTATTTCCAATGTTGTACACATACAGGGATCAAGTCGACACATTCAGTTAAATTTTGATCGATGTTCAACTATCGATTATTTCTTTCAAAAGGTGTTGTGCTTCTGCCATTTTAAAATATGTGACGGATGTTTGCGTGTCTATATGCAGGTATCGTAGTTGTATTAAATTTAGCTACATTTTATAAAACAATACACAGACATTTTTCAAGGGTTAAATTCCCAGATTGTTGTACTTTTATCAGCAATTAAGTTAACAATAAAAGTTCACAGTTGTTTACAAATAAAAACATTAAAAAAATATAAAGTGGAAAAATAGTCACTCTTATTAGCTAGAAAGATTGCTAAACTGCGAACTCAATTCTTAAAAACAAACTCAATCTCGAATTTATGGCTGGGCTGTATACGAACATTTTAGTGTCATTTTAGAAACATTATTAAAATACATTTCTAGAAACAGGCACTGCATATATTTTCGGTGTTCGATTTGATCGGTGACATAATCAATCTAGAAATAGCTATCCCCACTGCTGGATTACAAACAACTGTTTCATTTAGCACGTGACAAGGGAAGCTTACTTTCCCTAGAACACCCAATACCACGTATTAGATCTAAACCATCTGCCCGGTTACTTAGACATGTACAAAGTAGAGTATCCTTACTCTTTCTAGAAATCATTTATCATTTAAGGAGTATGTTCGCATAAGACCATTTTTGTGTTATTTTTTTTAATTCATTGTTGAATGGGATGAAAGTCAAGCGGTAAACCATATCCAATATAGATAATACCCACCAATGGTTGAGAGAGAGGGGGAGGGGTTAACGTCCACTCGACTCAAACTAGGTCATTTCGGGACTAACACATGGTTCAATTTTATTTCAATAATTGACTTGTGCGTAGGGGTCTTTAGCAGTGGGAGGACCCGGAGAAAACCCACGAGGTTGAACAGGCGACCCTACTCCTTAACACATACAACCGGGTAATCGAAACCACGCCACTTGACTCAATGACAGTCCTTATGAAACAGCACGCACGTGCTAACCATTCGGCCACACCCCCACCCCACCACCACCACCGCCAATGGTTTAGGAGCCTGAACTAAATTGAACTCATAACTAATAGATGATGAGTTATTTAAGTACCAAGAGTCACAATTAAAATCCGCACCATAAAACTTCCTCTGAGCGAGTCGTCAAAACGCGAATTTCTTGTATCCCGTTGGTTTTGTTGAACTTGGAATTATTTAAATTGGTGCTATTATAGAAATTTATCGCCATTTTATTTGTTTTTCAGGAACAAAAGAAGCTGCTTTTATATACGCCATTACGTCGGCAGGTGTAAGTTATGCTATAACCCAATCATGTGGATTGGGCAGTTTACCAAATTGTGGTTGTGATAGAGATAAGGGGGATGGGAAATTAGCCCCACAGGGCTGGAAGTGGGGTGGTTGTAGTGCGGACATTAAATATGGATTACGTTTAGCCAGAAAATTCATGGATGCAAGAGAAATAGCAGAAAATGCCAGATCACTGATGAATTTACATAATAACAGAGCCGGAAGAAAGGTACTAATATCTATTTTTACATAATCATCTGTGTGTGTATTACTTTATTTAAAGAAATATCACTGTACTTAATCTGTCCGATTGGATTTCGTTGCAAATAGTGATGTTATGAGCTGGAAATGTCATAACATCAAAGTAAACCATTGTTTTTAATCGAAACTATTCTGACGAATGATTTCCAAATGAGAGCTTAGCCCCAAGCGTCTAAATAATCAGTTTAACGTTTTGTTAACTTACAGAAACGTTTTGTTATAGATACTATTTCTATTTTCCAAGATACCGATCGACATTATGATTGCTATTTTAAAATCAAACTCAAATCTGTCAATGTCCTTTGTAAAATAGATTTGTCTCGATAAAGTGTCAACTGCAAATATCATCTTCGTCATAGCTTCAATTATTAGTTTCCCACACCACATCATCAAGGATATCATTTACCAGCAATATTTGCACTTTAGGAATTGTTCCTATTCCAAACCACGAAAGCAAGTAATTGTGAGACTATTTTTTTTTTCTAAAAATCGCTAATCCAATTATAATTTTATAATCAAAGATTTAAAGGGCCTATCATATCTTTGGTAATTATCCCAAAAATAGAAAAGTTAAAAGCACAACAAGTATTCTTACCAAAAATCTTATTATTATCCAAACATTATTAAAATTGACCGATCTTAACTTAAGTTATGACTATCTATTCTAAAGTTCCTAATATGTTTTTTTCTGTTGGATTTCATGACATCATGTTTTTGTATTGATTTCATGGAATCATGTTTTTCTAAAGTTCCTAATATGTTTTTTTTCTGTTGGATTTCATGACATCATGTTTTTGTATTGATTTCATGGAATCATGTTTTTCTGTTGATTTCATGGAATCATGTTTTTCTGTTGATGTTTTTCTGTTGATTTCATGGAATCATGTTTTTCTGTTGATTTCATGGAATCATGTTTTTCTGTTGATTTCATGGAATCATGTTTTTCTGTTGATTTCATGGAATCATGTTTTTCTGTTGATTTCATGGAATCATGTTTTTCTGTTGATTTCATGGAATCATGTTTTTGTGTCTTAGAACGTCAATCCTCTATATATTTAACACAAACTGTTGCATTAATAATCGTTCTTTTTTTAAATTTAATAACCTGTATTTTCTAATTAATTAGAATCTAAGTCAAATCTTAATTAGAATGGATCAAAATGTGGGATATTGGTCGTGTTTATCTATTAAGGCGATATCAATGAAATCGTATTACTGTGAGAAAATAAATACCAAGATTGCTTTAGAATTAAAAAGCCACACAAGATAGAAATCGCAAATATCACAGGTGTGTGCAAAACACTTTCTTAAATTTAGTATAAAACTGCCAAACTTTATTCCTAGACAAATTGGGTGGATCTCATATTTATCCTTTCTGGTGGTCTGCTATATTTTATTTAAATATCTTATTCCCATTGATGTGTTAATTCACTTAAAGTCTGTATTTTCTTTATCTTTTGATAGTAGAGAACTTCAAAGGTAGATAATTTAAGTATGTGTTATTGACTTGCGGGTTGGTTGCCTTTGGTAATGTTTTTCCGTTGACTTCACAAATTAGATCGGCATTCTTTACCTGTATCACCTAGCCTATAAGTTACTAGTATTTATACGGCCAGGTCTTACCTTAACAAGTAACCAGTTCACTTCAATAAATTGTCGTTCTCATTTGCCATGATAGTTAGACACCTTAATAGCATGTTTTATGACGTATACCCCTATACGTGCTGTGTAATCCTATGATTTGATAATGCCAACGAATTATAAACAGGTCATCTACCAATGCTGTTGTTTGACAGCAGTATTTGGCCTTATCGGATCGATAAAATCGTGTATCCAAACGCAGAAAACAAAACACTTTTGTTGAATTTAGCTCAAGATGCCGTGTAAACTAATTTGATACATGGTTGTGTAACATAAATGGGCAGTTTTATTGAAGTCACACAGTCAGATTAAAATACAGATCTATTTCGTTTCGGTTTTTTTTATACTTTCGATGGCCTACACTACATGAAGATCTAATCGGTTGTACTGGAAGGTAGCGTCAGGGGTCGTACGAGCGGCTTTTGATCCTTTGACGTCAGATATTGATTAATCAATCAGCTTTGACGTTTCTAGTGGTTTACCCACAGTTCCGTGCATCGCACGCCAAAAACTCGCCGTAACAGACCGTTTCATTGGCTAATCCCTCACTTCTACCAGAACGCCAGTAATATAACAACTCTTCCAGATCCTAGTGTAGTTAAGAAAAGTAAAACTATAAAAAACGAAACGAAACAGGATCTGTGTTTTAATCAGATTGGAAGTCACACAACATTGTGCTGAAGTCACACTACCTTGTGCTGCAATCGAAACAACGTATGCTGCTGAGATCAAACAAGTTTATGTATGAAATTGTAATCTAATACTTAAAAGCGTAGATTGTAGAGTAAACTTAAGTTTTTAGAAGATAACAAATAATTTGGAATAATAGATGATAGTAGTGTCGAAATTAGTTTCTAATTTATAAGTTGCCGAGAAATGGCCAATTATGCATGTCTTACTTTTCGGTAGGTGGTTCGGATTTAACCAATAAGTAAATTGATATTTTCATTAATCAAATCACTTACAGATTTAACGTTTCGCTTGAGCTAGAACCTATAACCATTACCGTTATACAAAATGACGTCTAATATAGTATTTGTTTTATTTAATCGTCTTGTTCACTACCTAAAGAACATCTTTATCTTTGTTAACTTCAAATACGAAAAATGTCTATTAACCAACATTAATTCATGTAATCCAAATGGTCTTCCATTAAGTAGAATTATGTCGTAACAGTGGTGTGAACTATAGTGAGTAAGGCGCTGGCACGTTAGCCTGGAGGTCGCGTGTCCGATCCCTGCGTTGGCCGAGAAAGTCTATCGGTGCCTGACACAGGATAGCTGTCTAGTTGTTCAGATGGGACGAGAAATCGAGGTCCCGTGTACATATTGGCGTGCACGTAAAAGATCCCTTGGCAGTTTGAATTCGATATAAGAGTAGATCGTAGCGCCACTGTCCCGGCAAAATGTCCCTCATAGCACACTGCATGGCGTATGCCCGTCTTCATTCGCAAAGTAGAAGCAGAACAGGACATTAAACCTCATTTCATTTCATTTCATTTTCGTGAACTATAGATGCAAGGTTACGGAAAGGGAATCTAACTGGGCTAATGAAGTCGGGCGTAAGCCATATGGTTGCTATAAGGGTACGTTTTCCGGACAGCGGCGATACGGCCCACTCTTATTTTTAATTCAAGTTCGAAATGGGTCTTTTACGTGCACCCCAATGAATACACGGGTCCTCAATTTTACGTCCCATTCGAACTACTAGACGCTATCCTTTCAGGCCATCCGTCTCAGCACATATGTCCCTCAACCATAAAAATACACGAGTTTCATTTAGTGTGATTTGGTAAGTCATTACATTATTTCCCACGGTATGGTGTATTTAGTTTTTGAATCAAATTTTTTCAGTTAAATATAGAAAATATATTGAGTAGGTGTAGGCCTTCGGGCTAGAATTTAAATAATATCACGACACGAAACTCACGAAGTGAATTGAAAAATTATTAATGAGTCCGTCAAAAGTTACAGATACCATAAATCTTGATCACCTGTATGCACTTTTAACAGTAAAAAATAATACTTCGTAACTATAAGAAACGGGGATGAAATAAAACACAGTTTAACGTCGTACTGACCATTCTACCCCAACATAGTCATGAAGAAGAGTTTACGCCATGCACTGTTCAATGAGAAAAATGTTGCAGGGCTCTCAGAGGTTCAGACTGTCAAGGTTTTTTTTTACGTGCACGACAAAGGGTACACGGAGATCCCATTTTTCGTCCAATCCAGATGACTAGACGCTTTTCCTAGCTTGACCCTTCTTGCTACCCATCTATCAAGGGGAAACGATGCTGAAACATCCGAGAAACTGGTTAGTGAAAGAGCGATATTCATCATATGGACATAACGAACAATATAGAAATACTTCACTGGAACAGAAAACAGTATACAATGGACCAATCTGAAATGTCAATCCGAGTACAACAGACTTCCAGCTGCAAGTGGCATATCTGAACATTGACATTGTGACTGAAAATAGTGGCCTCTTGTGTTCTTGAAAATTTGTGCATCACTGCCGTGTGTACACCACTTTCAACTAATATGAAACTATCCCTAAGTCAAGTTAGGACGGAATAAAACCTCACAGATTATTGATTGATGATGGTTTAAATGGTGATACTATATCTGTTATAGCCCTAATGATAAATAGCCCGTTGACATTTTAGACATATTTTGTATATATTTTAGTTTAGATCTATATTCGACTTAGCAATGACACAAGGTTTTGTAGACCTGAGGCTATAATACATGTGACTCCTGTTGTTTTATCAATATCTCCCATCAATCAAATCAATCAATCAAATCTATATTAGTGATAGATCTCGGCAAGTTATGTTTATTACGATTTTCAATCTATTGTCATAATAACTAGTCATTATTGATTGGAAAGTGTTCTATATTTGGTTTCTATTTCCGACGTTATTTTTTTTAAAATAAAATTTATCGTCAGATCTTCAATCAAATGTATATGTGCCTTGTGCATACGGCCATATTTATTATTATTATGATAGACAATAAAAATACATTTTTTTAAATTAATACACATACTGCACCCCCTCCCCCCCCCCCCCACACACATCACACCAGAGAGAGAGAGAGAGAGAGAGAGAGATAGAGAGAGTAGGTCATTTTGAGACTTGCATATGGATCAATTCTATTCGATAATTCGCTTGTGCGTAGGGGTTTTTAGCAGGTGGGGGAGGCGTGGGGTGGGGTAACCGGAGGACCCAGAGAAAACCAACGAGGTTAGTCCGGCGTCCCTACTCTTTGTTAGTGCCACGAACACGCGGGGACCGAAACCCCTCCATTTGACTGTATGACA